TTGGGTGGGGGCGGAGAGGCGGAGCAGAGGGAGAGAATGCGACGGGAGAAGTTGATCCTCGGCTGCGGCCGAATGAGGAGAGATCACGTCCTTTTTACTAAACTTTTCCCTCACTGCGGCGCTACTTTAATAATTCACTCCCCAGTTTGCTTCGCACGCATTCAGATGCGTCGGACCTCACGCCACCACCGCACCCTTGGGCATGACGCCAGCCACGCCGGGCGCGCCGGCGCGCAGCGCGCCGGCAAGCGCGTCGCCGCCCGTAACACGGAACCACGCCCTGACGGGGGCTAGGAGCGCGTCAGCCACCGCGGGGCGCACGGCCTTCGTATACGTCGACGCGACGACGCCATCCACAGCGATATCGCCGTGCAGCGTCTGGGGGTTGTACAAGCCTTCCCTCTGCACGCGGTCGACTCCAGTGACGACGGCGGTGTCGCCGGCGGCGAGCGGGACGCGGTCGCCGACGCGCACGGCGGCGGCGGCCGTCGCGTCGTCGTTGGCGTACACGTAGTGCCCCGGCGACGCGACGAGGGTGCGCGCGGCGTCGGTGCGGATGCGCACAAACTCGGTGTGCGCGGAGCCGTCCGCGTGCGAGAACGCGAACACGCGCGAGAAGCGCCCGCGCCCGACGTGCACGGAGTCGCCGACGCGGAGCGCGGACATGGCCACGGTGCCGCCGGTCTCGAGGAGCACGGTGGCCGCGGACGGGAAGCAGGCGGTCGCCCCGTCCTCTTCGGGGGAGGGCGTCGGCTCTTCGAGCGTGTCGATGGCATCGGATTCCGCGGACGGCGCGGGCGTCAACGGCGCGGGCGTCATCGCCACGGGCTCCGTCATGACCGCGTCCGGCTTCTCTGTGACAGGCGTCTCGGAGGCGGGCTTCTCGGAGTCCGGGAGTGGCTGCTGGTAGAGGCAGGCGCCGGAGAGGTAGCGCGGGACGATGAACATCCAGCGGGAGCCGAGCTCGAGCTTGGTGGAGTAATTGTTGATGAACATGGGCCCGTTGAACGGGCGGGAGATGAAAACGGTGGAGCGGTCCGGGAAGGCGACCTTGCCGCCGCAGACGCGGTTCTTCTCTTCGTAGCCGAGCAGAAACTCCTCCCCGTAGCCGAGGTGGGCGGATAGGGCGGCCATGTTGGGGCCGGACGAGCCGAGCATCTCCGTGAGACCCTCCGGAAGCGGCACGGCGTTCGGCTTGGGCTTGAGGTCATTGTCGAACGAGGCCGAGTCGTACAAGACGAGGGCCTTACCACCCTCCGACAAGGGCAACGAGTCGCAGCGCTCACCGTCGACAATGATGGTGTTGTGCGCGAGCTTTGTCACGCCATCGACGACAGCCCAGGTGGTGTGCGTGATGTTGAGCGGGCAGGTGGTTTCCGGCGTGCGGTCCTCGACCAGGTTCCACGTGCCGGTTATGTCGGAGACCGTGGCGGTGCGCGCGAGAGTGTCGGCGAGCGCGATGGGGAGGACGCAGAGGAGAAGGAGGGCGGAGTGGATGCGGGAACCGCAGTACATGTTGGATAACGGTAGGTTGACGACGCTACAGACGAGGATGGGTGCAGAGAGGGGGGATGTCGGCTGGCGTGACGGAAGCTCGCGGTGTTTATTCCGTTAGGCATTGTGATGGAGGAGCGGGGCGGCATGGCGAGCGAGAGGCGCGATAGCAGCGGGCGCGAGAGCCGTGAGTTGAGGCGGGGGGACGGCCCGTGCGAAAAGGGCGCGAGCGTTGGGGCGCGGGCAGCAGCGCTCCACGCGCGGGAGTTGAAGGCGGCAGGACGGGAGAGGGTTTTGCCCCGGCGCTCGCATTCGCCGCGAAGGGCGGCGGAGATGCAGCGTGCCGCGCGTGCATTGGACGGCGCGGCGGAATGATGGCGGTCCGGATGCCGCGCGAAGAGGCGGCGAGATGGCGGGCTTTGCCCGCGACCTTTCTCGGTTTTAAGGGGGGGCGGACAGGCAGGGGGCGGAATCTGCGCGAGGGATGGCCAGCGGGACGGCGATGCGGCGTGTATGTGTGGGCAGAAGGCGGGCACTGTGTGTTTCGGCGCGGGGGTTTCGGCGCGAGGGTTTCGTGCGCGGATGGGCGGGACGAGGAATGGGGGTAGCAAACAGTCGGGCCGTGTCGTACAGCTGTGCGGTATGCGAGTACGTGTTGGGGAGAGTGAATTGTGGCAAAGATGGGGTCCAATTTACATAATTCACATGAGCCTGCCGCCGCGAAAACAGATTAAACTTGCATACCTACCGCCCCCCTCCGCCTCCTTCCCCGCCGCCTTCCCCGCAACAGCGGCGCAATCGGAACTCGCCTGAACCGGAGATTTTCCCCCGCCCCCGCCCCCTCACCATACCCGTTCAAGCCAAGGGGGGCCGTGACTCACGTCCACCCCCATCCCCCAGAACACGCCCCTAACAGGCGCGAGCAGCGCATGCGCCACGCGCACATCCACGCTACTTGTATACGTCGTCGCCCACACCCCGTCCACAACGATATCCCCAGTTGCCGTCTGCGGGTGATACAGCCCTCTCCCTTGCTCCCAGCCCACCCTCTGCACGCGTGCATACGACCCATCGCCGCGTCTGAGCCGATCCCCCGCTCGCACGCTAGCTGCCACCGTCGCCCCGTCGCCCCCGTACAGCACATGCCCGCCACTCGCGCGCACCGACTCTCCCGTCGCCAGGTCCACACGCACGAACCACGCGTGCGCGCGCGCTGACCGGTGCGTGAACATGTGCACGCGCGCGTGCTTCCCCCCGCCGACGGCGACCTCGTCTCCGACCTGCAGCTCGCGCATGGCGACGGCCTTGCCGCCGCGCAGCGCCACGCGCGCGTCCCCGGGGAAGCACTCCCCGCGCCCGGCGACGGAGCCCTCGAGCTCGACGCCGTTATCGCCGCCACCCGCGTCCGTCTCCTCCGCCTCGGGCTCCTCCGCCTCGGCGCTCGCGCGCGCGAACCGGTTCAGCTCGGACTCGTACACGCAGGCCTTTGCGCGCTCGCCGACGACCACCATCCACTTCCTCCCGCGCGCGAGCGTGGTGCGGAGCTTGCGCACGGAGACGTCCTCGCGCGGGCGCAGCACGAAGGCGGTGGTGCCGCGCCGGAACACCGCCGACCCGTTGCACACGCGCGTCGCGCTCTCGAAGCCGACGTAGTACGACTCGCGGCTCTTCTGCATCGCGCTGCGCACGCGGCGCGCGGGCCCGGGCCGCCGCAGCGTCTCCAGCAACCGCGCCGGCACGCGGTAGGTCGAGCGCGGCATGCGCAGCTTGCGGTTCACTGCCACGTGCGTGTACAGACGCAGGCGCCGCCCGCGGCGGCGCTCGTTGGACCTTCCGCACCGCAACCCATCCTGCAGGATCTTGGAGTGCAGAACTCGGAACGGGCCCTCGCGCTGCCGCGTGAACCCTAGGTACTGAATGGTGCCGGGGCACACGGCCTTGAGCTCGGCTTCCACCAAACGCCACTCGCCGAGGAGGTCGGCGGGGTACGTGCGTCGTGCCGTGGGCTCTAGGTCTTGTGAATGGGTGTGGAGGAGGAGGGGGAGCAGGGCGAGGAAGGGGAGATGCCAGCGCATGGTGGAGAGCGTTGCGATGGTGGAGGGGGAAAGCGGTTTGCAATGGGAAGGCGTTTGTAGTTGGAAACTTGAGAAGGGCGAGCTGGTGGTGTTAAGGTAAGGGGGGCCAGTTGAAAATTAAGATCAAGGGAGGGCCTGGGGGAGGGCACACTGTGTGTAGACACGACGGGGGTGCACGACGAGGGCAGACGGAGCGGAGGGACGAGCAGTGGAGGAGCATTGGGGAAGACGGTAATATATCGTGGTGTTGGATAAGGAAACGTGTGTGTGCGTACGTATGAGGTGTTCCCTACGAGGATTTAGTAGATGGGTGTATCCGGGTGGCGGGTGCGATTGGTCGGGCTACGTCTCGCGCGGTCGGTGCACGGGCAAGGCGGAGTAGGAGAGCAACACACGTGGAGAAGAGAGAGGGCGTTGGGTTGGTTTGGTTTTCTACGGTATGAAGGGGGCTGGGGGCGATGGTTTTTGTTTCTGGGACGGTAGGCGGAACGGCAATGGAGTGGGTTGCTGTCTGCGTGCCCCGTCGCATCGTGTAGAGAGCGGACGTTATATCACGGGATATCGGAGAGGCGGATACTGCAAAGACTCATACAAGTCAGTAGTGCGGATTTCAAGCGCAGACGGCGGCAGGTAGAGGACGAGCTGAGTTTGTACGATATGGGTGCTCATTGCATTAGGTGAGTGATAAAGTTGCTGTTGCTGAATACGAACGGGCAGGAGTGCAGGCAGGAGTGCAGGCAGGAGTGCAGGCAGGAGAGCCCACCTGAATGCCACGTAGGTGGTGAAGGCCACCACGTGTCGGGCCACCACGTGTCGGGCCAGGAGGAGGAAATAGGGGAATGTTTGTTTTTTGGTTATTTTCAAGGACGCAAGCGGGCGCACGCCGTAAAAGGGGAGATTGTGGGTGATCTAGGAAAGCATTGCTGCGTCATGGCGGCCCCCAATCACCGGGCCACGGTCCCTTTCCAAGCAAACACAGCCGTAGAGCTTAAAGAGCCTAAGAGCATGCCCACCAGTTGGCGAATCCAATCCAGTTACTTTAGATCCTCCCTCATGGTCCCTTTCTTGGCAAACACAGCCGTAGAGCTTCGCCTTAGGGTGTGTCTTAACATGCCCCGTTTTGCTGCGGTTTGCTTTGCCTTGCCCAAAGAAGTGACTTGGCGTGCTATGAGTGGCTCCTACATTTTAATTTATGTGTTTAAGAAAAGCAACGGCTTAAGAAGCATACGGTATTTGTTAAGAATTTAAAAGTATTCCTGGCAAAACCGGGCAAGGCAAAGCAAAAACCAGCCTGTTAAGACACGCCCTTAGATACTCCCTCATGACTCTGCATTTGATTACGCCATGATAATTAGAGTGGGCTTTCAATTGTCCATCCACACCCATTCACCTCGTCACTATCACTTTTGCTCTGCCCTCTCCCAACCCGGCATACTGTATGCTGCAGCACTGTATGTACAGTACCAAGGGTACAGTACTGTAGTACAGTATCAAAGTGCACTGTAATTTGGTGCGATAGCACGCAAATGCGGTACTCACGGAGCTAGATATACGTATGATACAGACTAGGACAGCACAGAGCCGACTGACGTGTTCAGCGTTGCCGCGCTGTAAACGCGCACCCCTTCGCTCACCTAGACACAAGAGTGGGCATGCTCCATAGTCCACTTCACACCGTTTGAACAACGAAAAAACCGCAATTCAACTGATTCCACTCCACATAGACCGGTCCTCCGGCTAACAATCCTGAGCCTGTATTTTTCGTTGCATTCACATGTTAGACTTGCTCCCACTCCAACAAAACAACCCACCTTACCTCGTTGCCAGTTCCTCACCTGCCGCCTTTTTCACGCATCTATCCTTCCTGGTACTTTTACTACTGTAGGACTTGACCTCGTCTATCCATCTCATGGTTTACACTTCGGCGTGCTAACCATATTTCTATAATGCACTGACGCTTCTCGTAGCCATAGAGTTTTTCTTTCCATTTGACTCTAATATGGACATAGCTTGACATCACATGATCATGTGTATACTCGAAGTAAGCCCCAACTGTGACACCAAATCAGCATACTGTACTTGTCTTTAAGCTCCAGAGTTCCCCTCCCAATTCAGCGTGCTGGTTGTGAGACCCCAGTATCTCGTCGAGACGTGAATTCTTCACATGAGACTATGCCAACAATGCCCGTACTTTCTCGTGCATGTTGCCCTCCGCCGTTGTCGCCGTGGATTCATAGAGACATCCTTGCTATGGTAGTCTGTGTGTTACTGCATGGTTGCCTACAAGTGAAGGATTTTGCATCCCATCTCTCACCTGAACCAACTTTCCTCTTTTCATTCATTGGTGAGTAAACGGGAAAACCACAATGTGCAACAAGGACCAGTTGTGTTTGCAGCATGAACGCTAGTCTTCTCACCAACAGAGGCGTAAGATAAGCCATGTTACGAGAGGCAATTGCACCCAGTATAACACGAAATTCTTGAAGAATGGCGCTGTGCTGTCACCTAACTGATCAGTTGAAAACCCCTCTGCTTTCAGTCATTCCAATACCACTCGCTCATGTATTCGGTCCTATCTTGTTGTCACCTTTTCTTCTGTCACTATGTCACTCCCTCTTGTGGTCCTGGCATTTATACCTCCCTTTATGGGTCAGTTGGTTCTGACATAGCTTACGTCTCCGGCTCTCAAGCCCAATGTCTGCATACCTTCATAAAAAAAATTCCAGGCCTTGTCGTGAACGAACAACAGTTCGTACAATCCTGCAGCAAGAATCTGGTGGGAGACATCTTGACTACTTTCATTCCTCTTGTCGTGATTTGAAAGCGCAGAAATGGTACAACACAGAACAAAATATTAACCCGATACTTTGCAGGTGGGGGTTACCGCAATCGACAATGCCGCCGTCCATAAGTAACCCGCAAGTGATAATGCTTTCATCCATAGTAACCGCAAACAGTCATGCCTCTATCCACAAAGAGCCACGTCTATGTCTTGAAAGCACGGAACACTCAGGGAATCTACCGTGCACTGTAATAACTCTAGTGCTTCGATGCGAACTTCTTAAATGGCATGTGTTAAATGTTGAGCTATTTGGTATTGGTCAGACCTCAGATCCGCATCAAGTATAACGCAAATTTCATCAGAGCAGCAGTAATTTTTAAGTCCTACTTCATGAATAAGTATGTTTGAGCTTTAGTGTGTTTTTGGTCTTGGCGAGGAACAGCGGGGATGAGATGTCTGAGGGCGAAAACAGCGGAGCGGTAGTGGTGCTGGGGCGGTGGGAAGAATTGCAGAAAGTGGGAGCGGAGGTGGCCACAAAACCCAAAAAAGGAAACGAACATGCTCTAACGTCTTCATGTACGCCAGGCATCGATTGCAATGTTTGTACTGCTGCCGTCGGAAAACAGCAGAAACACAATTTCGAATCATTCAATAGCTGATGATTTCTTTTCTCCCTGGGAAACGCAGCTGATCGTTACATTTTCATTTAAACTAGGACTGGTGTAGTTATCAAACGTGAGAGTTTTTCGTCTTCCAGAAGTTGGGCGCTTGGTTCATTGTGACGAAAGTTTGCGTTCCAGACGCTTCAGGGCGAACCAGTTGCAGATGGGATGCAAGTTGGCAAGTAGTATTCCACAGCGGGCAGACGTAGTTGTTTCCGGTCACAAAACCTCAGAAAGGGACCGCTTATCTTTAAGTCGTCTTTACCGTGTTGGGCTGTCTTGAAAATGATGTACGAAACGGATGTACATTTATGGTTTTAGGATCAACAACTCGAAAGCGGACAGGTAAGCCGGCCTGGTTTAGGGTGGGAATGTGAACTTTCAAAATATCTTTCTGCTCTCAGCATTTTTGTCGAGAATGTGAATGCTATTGAAACAGCCGTGTGTTTGGCGTAAGAAAGATGTGATACAGAAATGAGACAAAGGTGATGAAGCTGTAATCTCTTTGAAACAAGTTTCTTCTTAGGATCATGACAACGGTTTATGTCAGTTTGTCGCATTGCTCCCTAGTCAGAACAAAGGTTCTTTTCTTCCCTTTCTTCATTTTTGAATACGAGCATGCTCTTTGTATTGTCAGGACCGATTAAGCTGCGCTTCAACAGGAGGAGAAGAGGGTAACTCAGCCCCAACGACACCGCAAAATACGCCATGTCACTACTGAAGAAGGAACAAATTGTATTAATGAAGGGCCCCATTGTGAATGCGAGTCGCAGAGCCGCATAACGGAAAAATAACTGGAATCACGCAACCCATTCCTATTGTTGGAAGGAGAGCTTCTTGTTTCAAAATACCCGCTGCTCAGTGCCCCCAGAATACGTCATGTCAGATAAACACTGAAGTGTTGCATGGCTGAACCAAACAACAATTGAAACATTGTGAGGTAACTGCTAGTACTGGATCTCCTGTGAGTTTTGCAGGGGTAGGGACGGAACCGATCTGGATGGAGTGGGGCAGTTGTCAAGAGAAGGCTCCAAGTTGAACTGACGTTATGAGTATCTTTCGCGGCGAAGGGGGTGAGATGGACATGTGTGTAGAACAGGTTGCTGTGGCGAGTGTACCGGCCCCCTGATGTCAAATCTGTTGTCGCCGTAGAGACCCAGTCACAACACGAGTTATGGGGGTTCCTTCTGAAGGTTCTTGCCTCATATTTCATAGATGGACATGTCGAGGGTAGAACGCGGGCAAAATAGATGGTAGGTCTACCCAAGAACAACAGTAAGCACTGACAACTAGTCAATTTACGTCTCTTGCGGGTATCAAAGGTAAGTACAAGTGTTTTAATGGCAAAGCAAATGCGTGTGTGCATCAGAGTTCCGGGAACAGATCGTCGCTAAGAAGGAACTGCAGTACGGTACGACTATGCGGCGCATACAGTTGGCAACCCACGTTGCGTGGGTTGTCAGCTGCAGACAACCACAGAACTGAAGTATACAGGCAAATGCGATCTACGTTTGAAATCCGACACATCATCAGCCTTCCTCACCTGGTTTACAAAATGTGGTCGTGAAACTTAGATTTGCTGCAAAGTTGGGATGCCCAGCAACCCTAGACACAACTGCAACGTATCTGCGGAGATCTGGCACAGAGCGAGCCTACTCTTCTGGAGCTCTGGGGTTTCGGCGTGTACGACTGGGCACTGTTCGTAAAATTGGTTAAACCTCGAGGTGATATTCTTGACGTACTCGCACAGGACGTGCGGTAATAAATCTCTCTCCAGCTCGGACAAAACCTCTGGCAGGCGAAGGAGGATCTTTGCCAATGCTCTCTCCTCCGGCTTTTCGAACGTGAAGCCGACGGCGCCCAACTCCGCATTTCCCTGCAGCCCTGTGGCCGCGGAAGCCGTGCGGTAGATGCCCTGGACGCGCGCAAAGGCATACATGATATACGGGGCAGTGTCACCCTCAAGCTTGACCATTTTGTCAAAGCTGAACTTGTAATTGCTCGTGCGGTTGTTCTTCAAGTCGGCGTACTTGACGGCGGCAATGCCAATCACCTCGGACATACGCGCGAGCTCGTCTTCGCTCCTCCTCTCCGGAGCGTCCTCGCCATTCGCGGCGGCCTGCGCTGCTTCGTCCGCGGCCCGCTTCTCGAGCTCGGCTCGGACGCGATCGCGCGCCTCGTCCAGCAGCTCGGACAGCTTCGGCACGGCGCCGGACCGGGTCTTGAACTTCTTTCCGTCTTCTCCCTGGACCAGGCCGAACGGGACGTGCTCCAAGCTGGCTTGCTCCGGCAGGATCTCTGCCTTGCGCGCGACGGCAAAGATCTGCTGGAAGTGCAGGCTCTGGCCAACGTCTGTGACATACACGATACGATCAGCTTCGTCCACACCCGTGCGGTACTTGACGGCGGCCAAATCCGTGGTGGCGTACAAAAATCCGCCGTCTGACTTGCGGACGATAACCGGCAACGGTTTACCATCCCGGCCCTTGAACTTGTTGCCCTCCAAAAACACGACGGTGGCACCGTCACTCTCTACGGCCAAGCCCTTCTCCTCGAGCAACGTGACGATATCCTTCAAAAACGGGTTGTAAAAGGACTCGCCCCGCTCGGTCAAGCGGATGTCTAGGCGGTCGTAAATCTTCTGAAACTCGATCCTGCTCAAGTCGCAAATGAGGTTCCAGGCGCGCCTGGTGTCCGGGTTTCCCTTTTGCAGCTGGACGACCTCCGCGAGGGCGGCGCTCTTGAAGTCGGGGTCGGCGTCAAACCTGGCCTTTGCCATGCGGTAGAACTCGACCAAGTCGCCGATGCGCGCGGCGGCGGTATCCGTGGGGCCGTTCTCCTGCAGCAGCTCGGGGCATTCAGACTTCATGTAGGTGATGAGCTGGCCGAACTGGGTCCCCCAGTCGCCCGTGTGGTTGAGGCGGATGGTGGTGTGACCCAGAAACTCGAGGATCCTCGCCAGGGTGTCGCCGATGATGGTGCTGCGCAAATGGCCCACGTGCATGTCTTTCGCGATGTTGGGGCTGCTAAAGTCGACGACGACGCGGCTGGGGTCGGGGCGCTTCGGCACGGCCAGGCGGGCGCGGTCGGCCAGCATGGCGGCGAGCTTGGCGTTGACAAAGGTGTCGCTCAGGGTGAGGTTGATGAAGCCGGGGCCCGCGATGGAAGGCTGATCGCACACGTCGGAGACGTCAAGCTCGTTGAGTATGCTGGCAGCGACGTCGCGCGGCCTGACCCTGAGCTTCTTGCTGAGGGCCATGGCGGCGTTGCACTGGTAGTCGCCAAAGTCCGGGCGCGTAGCCGGGGTGAGCTTGGGGTCTTGGGCGGCGGAGTCGCCGAAGGCGGTGCGCATGGCGTCGACGACGCGGCGCGCGAGGAGCGCGCGGGTGTCGTCTGCGAGGGTGGCCATGGCGGGCGGCGGCGGCGGCGGGGCGGCGGCGGCGGCGACGGTGGGGGGCGTGGTGGTGAGGCGGCGTGCGCGGCGCAGGTGGGGCGGCGGGTGCGGGGAAGGGGCGTGGTGCGGGCGGCTTAGAAGCGGCGGAGACGGGGCGAGGCGGAGCGGGAGGTTGGCGACGAAGGCCGACGTGAGCAGGCGAGGGGCCATGGAGTGCAGGCGCATTAGGTACAGGGGGATGACGGCGCGGGGGGCGACGGGCCGCGATCGTTTTGATGCGTACGTGTGTGCATCGCTGGGGACGAGATCTGGTCATCCGCAAGCCAATGATCATCTCCCTTTCCTACACTTTCGCGAGCCCGCCCGCACACGTGTAGTAGACCGTGTACACCGTGCACACCTGTACAACAGCACACGTGTAGTACACCGTGTACACCGTGCACACCTGTACATGTGTCAGTTACACGTGTGTATTTCTACGATCCTAAACATCTGCTCTTGTTGCTTGCCTAAAACCAAACCAAAAGCTCACCTCCTCCTCTCCTCCTCCGCCCAGGAGGACTAAACACCAAACAGCTCCGCAGCACCGACCGCACTCCGCGCCATGCCGCCCGACCCACCGCTCTCCACGCCACCGCTCTCCACGCCACCGCTCTCCACGCTACCGCTCTCCACGCTACCGTTCTCCACGCCACCGCTCTCCACCCGACCGCTCTCCACCCGACCACTCTCCATCCGCGCCTCGCACCCGCCCTTGCTCGCGCTCTTCGTCGCGCTGTTCACGGCGCTGCTCTCCATCCTTCTCACGCACGTGCTGCAGTCCAAGTGGCGGCGCGTGCGTCTGCCGTTCCTGTCCGACGCGCACTACGACGCGATCCAGTCGCCGATCTTCGCGGCGACCACCGCGCTGACGGCTGCGTGCGCGCTGCCCGCGGCGGTGTGCGTGTTCGCGGTGTCGCGGCAGCGGGCGGCG